ACTCTGTGCTACCCAGGACCAGCTCTGCTGTTCCAGGGATGTGAAGGAAGCACTCAGTTCTGCAGGCCAGAGACATTGTATATCGCAACGGATGCTGCAGAAGTAGAAAAGAAAAGTCTGTATAAATCAGGATTCTCTAAAGAAGCCAAACTAATAGAATGAATATGATTTATTAGTGTGGTTTCCAGACCATGATCTGACTATTCCAACAACGGATGCCTCCAGAAGGGAAGTCCAAGAACCCAAAGTTGTTCCAGCCCTGAGACTGGGTGTGTCTCACATGGTCTTCAGCCTACTCCAGAATCCCAAAAAAGTAGGTTCCAATGCCAGCGAAGGAAAGAACGTGCCAGCAAGAGAGAGGGCAAGCAGGCCAAAAGCAAAGGCGTCCTTTTCCATGTCTTTTATATAGGCTGTCACCAGAAGGGGTGGGCCATATTTTCGGTGGATTTCTCCACCTCAAATAATTCAGTCAAGAAAAAATCCCCTCACAGATGTACGCTGCAGCTCAGATTTTAGTTAACTCCAGATGTAGTCAAGTTGGCAACCAAGAACAACCATCTCAAGTCCACCCCTTGACAACTTAACAGACAATCATAGTTCCTTATGTTATGCTTAATTTCAAATTGCCTAACATGATGCAATTACGTTGAGCCTAGACAAGAACCCTGCTCTGACTTAGGGAAAACGAAGACTCACAAGTACAAAGACCTGTTTGAGTTTTGACTCCGTATCACTATATGATGCTATGAAATCAGGGACTGCATTAATTTCTTGACTCCTTATTGTAACAAAACACTTGGCGAAAGGAACTTAAGGAAGGATGGGTACTTTATTTTATTATTATTATTATTTTTAATATTATTATTATTAACTAAAAACAACTATCTTTTCTCATTTTACATGCCAAATCCATTTCCCACTCCCTCTCCTCTTCCTGTTCCCTCCACCTCCTCCCTACCCCCATCCTATTCCTCAACCATTCCTAGGAGAGGAAAATGCTTCCCATGGGGAGTCAACAAAATCTAGCACATTGCTTTGAGGCAAGACCAAGGCCCTCCCCACTATAGCTAGGATTTATCCCTATTGCTTGTTCTGGCTTTTTGGAATCCATCCTTCCTGGAGGGATATATCATCATCATCATCATCATCATCATCATCATCATTATGCATTACAGACAAGAGGCAGAAAAATGAATGCTAGTGTTCAGCTTCACTTCTCTCCCTTATTTAGCCTGGGCCATTAGTCCATAGTGCGGTGCTACCCACAGATGAGGGGAGTCTTTCTACCCACTTAACCTAATCAAGATAATCCTTCAAAGACAAGCGCAGATGCTAACACAATCTAGATACGCACTCACATGTGTGCTAGTGGCTTCTCTCCTAGGAGATTCTAGAGTCTATCAGGTTGGCCATCCACATTACCCACCTCAGAAAGTTTCATTTAAAACCAGCGTTATGGAACCTACACACAGACTGAGAGTTCTGCGGTGGTGTGAATGGTACCCTGCAGTTTAGCTACAACGGACTGAAGACTACAATTCATCATATACAAAGCAATACACTCCGTCCCAGAGGGGTGATGCTGAGGCTCCAGGAGTGGCTCCGGAAGGCACTTGCAGGGACTTTTCTCTAAAGAAAGCTGGACTTCAGTTTTCTCAGTTTTGAAACTGAAATCCTACCGTCTACTCCAACTATCGTAGATGAGGTCCTGATCAGTTTTTTGGCAACTTGACACAAGCTGGGTTTATAAGAGAAGAGGAAGCCTCAATTGTGAAAACCACCCCCATCAGACGGGGCTGTGGGTAAGCTGGGAGAGGCATTTTCTTGATTGGGGACTGTTGTGGGCGCTGGCCTGTTGTGATTGGTGCTATGGATAGGTGGTCCTTGGGTGTATAAGAAAGTGGTCCGAGTAAACCAGGAGGATGCATGCATGCAAGCTGGCAGGCAGAGTTCTTCCTCCCTCCATGTTCCTGCTTTGAATTCCTGCCTTAATTTCTCTGAGTGAAACCATTTCCTCCCCCAAGCTGCTTTTGGTCACAGTCATCAACACAGCACCAGAACCCTAAGACAGATGGCTAACTGTGAGAATCTAACAAGTATTTGTCATTGTTTGCTTGTGTTGCTCCAACAAAATGTCACAGGCAGGGTGGCTTTAGTAGAGATGGATTCCTCAAAGTTCTGGGGGCTGGAAAACCGAAGTTCAGTGTGATGAGGAACTATTTCTGGATTTCAGATGTTGTCCTGCTGTAGCAGGAGGAGGAGGGAGAGATAGGAGGGGGGAAGGGATACACACAGAGAGAGACAGAGACGGAGATCTTTTCCTTAGGGAACTTGGAATTACAAGGGAACTCTGAAATACTCCCCACATCTCCTCTCCTCACCCCTGCTTCACAGGGGGAGGAAACAGACACGCTGGCTGTAAATTGCTCAAGCTGTTTAATCTGTCTAAGGCTCAATCTCTCCATTTGTTAAGAGCGATTATAAAGGCAATGCCGACTCCATCAGCATTGTAATGAAGTTTAAATCAGTATAACAGGTTACAGGCCTGCATTAGTTCATATTAGCACCGAGCACTGGCTTGATAAATATTGTTAGTGTTAAATGCTACTGAATGTTAAATGCTTCTGTCATGTTTTGTTATTATTAGTATTATTATTAATCACAGAGTTGGAATACACACCCAGATCCGCCGACATCTGGTGTTCTTCACTAAGAGAAAGTGTTCTCACGGAGCAAAGCTAATTAAAGCTAAGAACAGGATTTTTGCTTAATGATAAATCTCATTAGTGCCTTCCAGCTGTGTTTGCTGCATCTAAACAGTGAAGTTGGTGCCAGGGAAAACCACTTCCGAGAAATACCCACCAAAAAACCAGCGAGGAGAACAGGACCCAGTATATAAAGTGCAGGGATTTTAATCGGAGCTTTTTTTGATAACGTAGCTGCATTTTTGGAAGACCGAAAGGAACATGAAGTTTGGTTCCAAGTCAAAGTTGAGCCACATTTCTTCAGACAGACAGCTTGGCTCCGAGGAGGGCAATTCTCAAACCAGATTTACTTTCTATAATATGTCTTAGTGTTCGGAACTGCTCCTTTACTCCCCTCAAACAATAACAAGTCAAGTGAAAGCAGCCGGCAGAATTAGTAGGGCTGCTAGTCCATGTTCAAGGACCAAGTTCTCTGTCACAGGGAGGCTGGAGGATTCCTGACTTAAGTTGTTTTTTTTTTTTAAAAAAAAAAAAAAAAAAAGCTAAGGGATTAGCTCTGATGGATGACCAATGCTCTCAGTAAGCGTGGGCTTCTCGCCAGAAATCAGCCCCATGGACAGACAGCAGCCATGCCTGGGGTTGTGGAACTCGGCTGATAACAGGACCGGAAACCCATCAGAGACACCCACCCCTTACCTCTGGGCCTCATCAAAATTACCTGCCAGAGCCTCTGCTCCAGACCAGCACCTTGTCGGCCTGTTCCGTAATAGAAAACAGCTGCTCTTGTTGGGAGGCGGGAGTGGGAGTAGGGAAAAGAACAAGGAAAGCGCCATTCATAACTTTCCTGTTAGTGCAGAACTGAAAGTGGAAATCGCAGGAGGAGTCCAAACAGGAAATCCTGGGTCCCTCTGGGAATATTACCCTCTTCTAAAGGAATGATAGGAAATCAAAGCTACTGAATTTAAATCGCAGATGGCTTTGATCCTTAATAACGGATTTAGGGTAGGATCTGAACTTGGCAGCATCGTAGAGGTGCCAGGGGTGATATTGCAGAAGTTTGATCAGACGCAATGGGTGGAGGGAAGGCCTGCTTTGCTGTGTCTTTATCTGCGGCACTGTCCCCTAGTTCCTAGAACTAGGTGTCTGTCATGTGGTATGTGTCACAAACACTAGCTGAGGAAATGATGAATGAAACACATGACCCACATTTTCTAAGAAAGGGGGGAGGATGTTTAAGTTTAACAGGTCAGGGTTTGATTCCACATCCAGTTGTTTACCTAGCTCTACCATCTTGGGTGATTTGTTTAACTGTAAAATGATGTTTGAGTCACTGCCTATAGAGTGAGAGACTCAGTCAAGTGTGTTCTTAGGTGTTTCAACAAAAAAGTGAAGCTCAGTCAGTTATCAAAATGTGACCATCAGATCACAAATAATAGCATTGATGTGTGAATGGACGTAACTTCCAGATTCAGTAAGAAAGATAGAAATCTACCTTTAATATTGATCCCATGATACACATGATTGCCCACTAAAGGGCCACTGGGTAAAGTCTGGGTCCCCAGTTGGGTACACTAAGATGTGAGGGAAGGTTCAGATGTAGAGCTAGGCTTAGGAAATGGATCAGTGGTTGAAAATGCTTGGGATGCAAGCATGGGGTACTAGACTTCAGATCCCTAGACTTCCTTTAAAAAGTTAGCCAAGCACACCTGGGACCCCAAGTACGCTTACATGCAGAGAAGGGTTAAGGAACCCAAAACACTCAAATCAATAACTCAAAGTTCAAGGACACATGTGAACTTGTAACAGAAATAGGAAGCTATGTATAAGAAACAGAAAAAATTAAAAAAAAGAGATTCAATTAGAATCATGAATACCATACTACCACAATGCTCCCTATCTCTCTCTCCTTCTCACCATCCCCAACTCTCTCTTTCTTAACGGCCTCTCCCAAAAGTCCTGCATGAGTAGGCTATGTGATTCCAGATGTTGCTTGACTACCTCAAGATTCCTGCCCTTCTATATTGCCCCAGCTTGTCTGTCATTTCCCCTTCAGTGCTCTCAAGCTTCCATGTGTTCCACAGGGCTCCCTTGGTGTGACTGTGACACCCGCGTTTCCTCATATGGTGTCAGAGTTGACAGGGAAGATCTTCTGGGACCTGCTAGTGATGGAATTAAGAAAATTATTCAGCGTTGAGAGACTCGGCTGAAAGAAAATCTACCTTCTGAGGTGAAAGGGGAGAGAGCGGTGGGGGCTTCTGTTTGGGAAGAACAAGAGGTGGGTCACGCAGTCCTTACCGTGTGGCCGTAGTTTCTTTTGACACCCTTTAATAAAATAAAGCTCGGTTTTGTCTTCTCAAAACACTCAAATCCATCTTAACTGGAAGCAGTGTGTAGCTGGAAAGAGTTCTTCTATGTGGTTCTGATTGACAGGACGTACACCCATCCAGCGCTGGACCAAGAAATAGGGCATTATAAATCACACCAGCTTTTTCGAGAACTCTCCACTCAAACCTAAGGGAAAGATGAGTTGTAAAGCACTCAGCCTGCGACAAGAATGTTTCCGTGTAAAGTATTGCTCATAGACAAAGAAATAACTATTTCTTCTGACAGCATCACTTAAGGGGTGTGTGTGGATTTGTGTGTGTGTGTGTGTGTGGTGTGCATTTATGATTACCTAGTGTTTATAACCTACATCCTCTAACATTTTAAATATACTGTGACTTTAAAAAACTCTTTCACTCTCTTTTTATCTTTAACACCTCTTTTTATCTTTAACTGTCTTATTTGACAGTTACAAAGTAGATAGAATTGTTAAATTCTTGGTTTGTTAAATTCATATCATTATATATAGGAATATATAAGAATATATATGTAAGAATTCATATTATCATAAAGGTACATACAACAACAGGTATACTTGATGTGTGAGTGCCATTGCTGCATCTAATATTTTTACTGTAGTTTTTTGTCACATCCTGTGGTCATTCTATAATTTTTATTGCATGGTCATACAGATAATAATACAGAATTATTATTAAATAAAATTATTAAGTATAAAATTTTGATTGCATGGTCATACAGATAATAACACAGAATTATCTGTATGACCATGCAATCAAAATTTTATAGAGCATTCACACATATTTCCAATTGTCTGAGAAGCATTATATGGTTTGATTAAGGGTGACATCATTCTCAGATTTGAACAAAGTAGCTGAGAAGAAAGCCATAATGCGTTCATTCTCCTGTTTATACTTGTACATTACCTTCTCCCGAAAGTGAATCAGCTTGCCAGGCAAGAGGTAGTTGTGAAATAGGGCTTGGTATTGCCTTCACTTGCAAGATATTCATCTTTAGCTGAAAATCCAATGGTGTTCTCTCTGATGATGTCAGTGTAATGTCACACTGAGTCACTAGACACTGTCCCACCTCCAAAAAATATAGGGAAATTCAAGGAAGCTGAAGCTTTTCTTTATTTATTTCTCAGTTTTCAATTTCATTTCTATCACAAATGTTATCAATATTCTTATAACACATAGGACAGTTAAGTACCCCCAATATACCACCCAGTTTAGCTGATCCAGCAAAAATATTTATCTATTTATTCCCATTCATTCATGTGTATTTGGTTATATACAGACTTAAATGTCTGGATTTACATGTAGTTGTGTGCTTCCCCCCCACCCCGAGAGATATTAGCAAACATCTACTCAACCCAGCTAAGCTACTGATGGATCAACAAAGTAATTTCACCAATGTCTAACTTGGAGACCTGTTGAATTTATTGATGTTTACAGGAGTGTGGGTGAGGAGTGCATTGCAGGAACATGGCAGTCCTGAAAGCCTGGCCCAACCTGTGTAAATTGCTCAGGAAAGCTGCCTCCCTGGAGCTCTCTGAGCCACTTGCATTTGGCTGAGTGGATCAGATGGCGTAGGGAACTCAGCGGATGAGACACTTTTCTCCCCAGCAACTCTTAGAAAGGGCCTTGTGATTTTCGATCTTCTACGTTTCTGCTCTCCCAGCTTCTCTTATTCACTCAGTCTCATGAGCGTCACTGTTCCCTTCAGAAAGGTCTGCTTCAGTTCAAGGGAAACTGTGCACACCATCCTAGCCCTTCCTCCGGCTCGTACACTCTTTTTGCTCCCTCTTTTGTGATGTTCCCTGAGCCCTGGGGAGTAATTTTGATGTTTGATTATTTATTTTCTCCATCTGACTGAGAAGAACAGTGGCCTATGGGCCTAAGCAAAAATGTTTGAAGGCAGATGGACAGGCACATCATAGCCACTCAGCAAAATGATACAGGTTGCTTCCCCGCTCCAGCTTATAACACTCCCCACCCCTCCCCCCCGCTACAAATGTTCTTCCTGGCTTATAGTAACAAGTGTGGTTTCTCTCCTGATGATCAGGCCCCAGGTCCAGTTAGAAAGCTGATAGCTGTGACCACAATAGCTAAACTACTAATGTACCAGCAGGCACAGTTTGCATGTGGTTTGGGTATTGGGCCACAGCTGAACAATATTGTTGGTGACAGCTCTTTTCTAGCTATCTGCACAGCACCATTTTGTTGTGGAATATTATTGTAAGATGAGTTACATTTGCTTATGCTCTGGAACATTTGTTTAATGATGCAAGGATGTGCTGTATTCTTTTATGTTGCATTTGTTTAACTCTGTGAAGCTGTGTTACTTTGTCTGTCTGAAACACCTGATGGTCTAATAAAGCGCTCAAGGGGCAATAGCAAGGCAGGAGAAAGGATGAGCGAGGGTGTGGAGCAGGAAGAATAATTAGAAGGAGAAGAAGAGGGATAGGGAAGCAAGAGATGAAGGGGTAGGATAAGGAGGAGGACTCCAGGGGTCAGCCACCCAGCTACAGACAAGCCAGAAAGAAGTATAGAAAGATAAGCAGAAATAAGAAAGGTAAAAGCCCAGAGGCAAAAGATAGACAAGATAATTTAATAAAAGTTGACTAGAAACAAGCCAAGCTAAGGCCAGGCATTCATAAGAAAGAATAAGACTCAATGTGACTTATTTGGGTGCTGGGTGGCAAGCCCCACCAAAGAGCCCAAGAGAGAAGAATAAAAACAATCACCAGCACCTTTTGACGCTCTAAAAGCCAGCTAGTGAGGGGTTAGGGACTTCCAACCTAGTTACAGTCTTATTCCTCCACGTCCTTCCACTGAAGCACGTGGTATCCCCAGCAGCAGTGTCTAATCATCCGGTTTTAAAGACAACCAGCAGAATCATCAACAGCTTCTCCTGCAGTGGGAACCTCTGGGATTTCTCTGCCTGATGACCAGAGAAAGTAACCCATCCTTGGTACTGGGACCTTTATTTAGCCACCACCTGGCTTCCAGGGGTGACTTTTCCCACCCACGCAGGGTCCCTTCTGAATTTAACTCGTTTAAGTGTTGTTTAAGTGGCCCACTTTTCCAATCTCATTTAACCCAACCCTAGTAGGGTTGTCAGGCAGATAGAAGTACCACTGGGCTTGGCTCTCCTCCACCGACATCAGTGTTGGTGATAGTTCACATAACATGGAGTGAGGCAACGCTCTTGGTGGTGATTTCATATGTTCCCTACTTGCAAGAGACCTGTGGTAGTGTCCACACAGGTGAGGGCATATCTACACACCTCTCCGACAGGCATAGGTCATAGTCTATCTGCTAGTCCTGCACAGGGAAAGTTAGTTTCTGTATGTATCCCATCGCAGCATCTATCTAGCAAGGCCACAGTCAGACATAGGCCCTACCCGACATGACTGGAGACTATGCAGGATACCCAAACATTTGATAGGAACACCAGGGCTTCAGTTATTTCCCATCCCTTGGTGGCATCCCCATGGAAACAGTCCTACCTGTCTTTTTATATACTTCCTCTCTCACATCCAATTCTCTCAGAATGCCTGTCCTTCCTCTTTGACTTTCCAGTTCTTATATTTATGGGGACTTCAGGCATCTATAACCAAGTTTACTTAATGCCCATAGAAGGCAATTCATCAAAGTCTGATTTCCTTCATGTTACCTCAGGTGACTCAATCTTTATCATAAGGAAAGATGAGTAATTACGCTACCTAGTTCCTTCCACAGAACTTAGAAAGACCCCCCCCTTCATCCCTGAAGAGCCCCACAGCTCAGAAGCCAGGCTGACTGGTTCACTCATTGTTTGCTTAAAGGGCTTTCATGATTCACTCAGTTCAGGTGCTGAGTATTCCCGGGTTACTTGTACTGAGCTATTTTAGGAGCCCTAATATATGTTTGAGTCATGGATTTCCCTTCTCTATCCAAGGCTGGGCCCAGGGGTATCTTTTATTGATTTCATCTTGCTCTTTTCTCCCTTGTTCTCTACTCTTACTGTGGGTTCTGGGATTGAGGATTCCCAGAAGAGCTCCCCAGCAGGGATCTGATTTGTCCTCCTTTATCCTCTCAGTCCTGCAGCCATACTAAACAACAAGCTGACCCTTTCTCATCATCTCTTTTATGTGATTCATCTGGCGCTTACGAGGTTAACACGGAACACACTAAGTACAGATCCCATTCCTGTTGCAATCCCTTAAACAAGCGTGTTCCCTCCAGGCACCATGCTACTCTCGGCTCTGCTTTCTTCTTCATTCACTGACCACCCAGTAGCCATGATGGCTTGCCAACAGTCTTTTCCCGATTGTTCCACTCCCAAGGGTTGCAGTGCCCTCTCCAATCCTTTGTCCATTTTCAGGATGTTCTCCCAGACGTTTCCTGTGACCAGGTTTGCAAAGCCATACCAAGTAAAGAAAGCTGTCCACCCTGGAATGCCACCATCACAGACAGCAGGCCACCACTACAGTAAGAAGGTACATCATCCATCCCATGCCATGTGGGAACAAATGAGTAGGATTGTCCTGTGACAACTGATACGAGCCAGCCTTGATTGCCTATCTCATCGCCTGTTTCAGCCCATTGGGCTAGCAGCTATTGCTACCCAATGCATCGCTGGTTCTATCTGCCCCATTCAGAAGCCAATACTGTTGGGTGATCTCTCAGGGATGTTGTGAACAAACTTCCACTTACCCGAGTCAGGAAGCTAACAACCAACTAAAGTAACAATTCCACCAGTCTCAGTTTGGTGTGACCTATAGAAGGATAGATGAGGGTTACTCATAGGAGTATGGGTGAAGGTTACTTACCAGGGCATGTGTTAGGGGCATCGGGTCTGCCCTTGGGGTTCTGATAGGCTGCCTCCTCAACTGTAGCCACTAAGAGCACCTCCTTCACTGTGTTCCCTTTTTAAAGGGACCTGCTCACCTCCCATCTCTTCCTCTTTCTCTCTTTCTGTCTGTCTGCCCCACCCCCTTCTCGCCTATGCCTCTCCTTTTCTCCTGCTTCTGTCCCCAGAGGCCAATCTTCCCCCCACTTCTCTCTTTTTACATTCCCTTTCCCCTAATAATTAAAAAAAAAAACTTCATGTGAATTCTATCTCATGGTGTCCCTTTCTCGAAAGCCTCTATTATTATTATTATTATCATTATCATCATCATCATCATCATCATCATTATCATTATTGTTATTTATTATTATTACATCAGCAAGGATGCTTTCAAGTAACTGCATCACTGAAAACCCTACCCGTAACCTGAGGAATAACTCTTGAAAGCTGCTTCCAGGAGCTCCCTACCTTGGGCAACAGGAAGCAGTTGAGAGATATACATGGATCTAAATAGGAAAGAGAAAAAGACAAGATCCCCTGAGTAAATTGGCAATGTGGGAATCAGGGGGAGGGGAGAAGGGGAGAAAGGAGAAAGGGAGGGGAGCAGACAAAATGTATAGTGCACTAAATCAATTTTAAAAAGTTGCAAAGGAGATGGGAAATTGAAGGTGTGAGGGGCTTGGGTATGTGGGTGTGGGTTAGGGCCTGTGGATGCATTGGGGATGTGAGGGTGAGTCGAGAGCTTGTGTGGCTTGTGGTGTGTGTGGGCGGAGTGGGTGTACGGGTGTGAGGTAAAGGTATATGAGGGTGTTGAGAATGTGGGTTGTTGTGCATACTAAGCAGAGATGCTGAAATTTAAGTTCATTTTGTATATTCCCTTAGACTACAGAGACTTCTCCATTTTTCTCGATTGTACAAACTAGCTCAAAAAAAAAATAGGAAGAGTATAAGGAAAAAAACCAAAGAGATGGTGTTGTATATGGCAGGCACGCAAACATCTGTACTTTGTTTCTTCATCCTTTTCTGGCAAAGTGGAAGGAAGTACATCTTTTGAAGGGCACAAGGGACCATCATCTTTACTTTTTCTCCCTTTCCCATCTCCACAGGACTCTATGTTTTCTTTGTTGTTGTTGTTGTTGTTGTTTGGGGTTTTTTTGGTTTTTATTTATTTATTTATTTATAAAAATTTCCACTTCCTCCCCTCTTCCCAATACTCTCCCACTCCCCCCACTTCCTTTTCCCC